TAGAAGTAGTAGCAATAGTAGTAGTAGTAGTAGTAGTAGCAGTAGTAGTAGTAGTAGTAGTAGTAGTAGTCATAGTAGTAGAAGTAGTAGTAGTCACATCAATACTGGTAGTACCAACAGTAATAATGACGGAACTAATGGTAGTTGTAAAACAATGATCGTAATATACGTAGTACTAATAGTACAAGTAGTAGTAGAAGTAGTCGTAGTGGTGGTAATTGTAATATTACTAGCAGCAGGCCACAATACAGGAAGCCTAATATGGCCCTGCCACACGTGGGACGACGACGTTGTCATTCGACATAAGCAGATCTCAATTTCGATTCGCAACTTTCCCCCACGATAATGACACTCGGCCCTGCCAATTTGTTGACGCAAGTATGAAGGATCCCGACCGACGGATCTTCGCGGGCACATTGTTTGGGAATCGTCGACGCGTGCCACCTTGTCATGGTTACAGCATGCAGTGCGCAAGCTGTTCAGCACTTTCGTGTGTACGCACGCCTCGTAGGTATGCATTTTCTATGCATGGACATGCTGCTGCGGTTCTTGACGCGGTGTAGAAATTCGAGTTCTGCCATCGCCCGCCGAAGGCGCCGGCCCAGTCCAGCCTGCACCGTCACGTCTGCGAAGAGCACAGCCCCAAAATATACGACATTCGATTTTTAAAGATGGCAGCCCCGTTTAGCCTTCGACCAAAAATGGTTGAAACCCACGGCCAAGTGTTCGAGTTTCCCCCAAATTAAGCAATGATGTGCTAGTTCGCGCCCGCCCTTTCCACTGCCTGCATGTACTGCTCAGTGTGTCCGGGCGCGCCGGCAACGACGAGAGCGTCGTCCGCGTGCGCCAATTCGTCCACCAACACTTCCCAGTCGCAGAGGCGGTTCTTTGGGTCGTGCAGGAGCACCGTCATGACCATCTCCACAACAAAAAAGCGACAACGGGCATTCCCGGCAAGTGCCCGTTCTCGCGACGCCGCGGTCTGCCTGCAATGCTTCACCGCGAAGCTCTTGGCAGAATAGATGGCGCGCGCGGCGACCAGCACCTCTCGCGGCAGGCCGAAGTGGCGCAGCGCTTCGGGGAGAGCATCTGGCATCGCGCTGTCGAGCGCCTTGGCCCAGTCCAGCGCGAGCAGCACCAGCGGGGACCCCTACAACGCGCAGGATTTCTCAAAGAGGCGCCGCGCTAGGAATGTGGCGTCAGCCGCCCCGTGTCCAGAGTTGAAGCCGAACTGCGTTTGCCAGATTCTGGCCTCGGCGCTGGCATCCTTCAACTGGCGCTCGACAGTCATGGCGTACATGTTGAATCGGGCTTGCAATAGACAGGTCAATTTTTTGAACACTGAGACGCGCCACCCTTTTTTGAAGATTGCCAGTACGGAAGCTTCGCGCCACGCGTCCGAGGCGCAACCATTTCTCCAACACTTCCCTCCCTGGCCTGGAGTGCGCCCAGGTAGCCTTCCACAGCTCCCTGGGGGCGCCGTCGTAGCCAAAAGTATTGCCCCATCGCATGCGCCGCGCCACGTCGATGACCTCCTTCCCCTCTGTGATGTCACCCGTCTGGACCTCTAACTCCAGGCCAATCCGTTCCACGTGGAGCCTATTGAACATCGAACATGTACTCGGCCATCGTGTCGGGTCTCGTAGCGGACTGTACCACTTCACCATCCATCCCACGTAGGCGCCCATGCCGCGCAGGTGCGAAGCCTCTTCCAAATCTGTGGACCTGGTCCCAGTCGCCCGTCGCAAAGAACTTGTCGAGCCAGACCGACCTGTCGTTCTTGACCGACCGCGTCACCTACACATGCAGACGATGCTCTGCGTCAATCCGCGCAAAGCGTCGGGCGTCGGTTCTCTGATCGATCAACGAGATGGTGCAGGGCGAGACCTAGGGCCTCCTTGGCGAAGCCGTGTTCCCTGGAATACGTGCAGCAGCCGCAGAACGAAAAGCTGGCCGCGTAGGTGGCCTGTATCCCACCAGCCCCTTATCGCGTAGGTGGTCCAGGGTGTTCTGTCTTCCACCTGCCCCTCTTCCCCTTCGGGGAGCTCGCCATCGCTCGGACGTCCATTCCCTGTGTTTTTTTTTGATTTCGTGCGTGGTTTTTTCGCCAAATGATCAAGGATGCTCCTCGATGGCCCTCGCCGAAGGAAAAATGCACACGTCCGAGCGATGCCAAGGGAGGGGTTCACACCTCCCCCTACCCCTCCCCTGGACCTGGACGGGGCCGGTCACGAGGTGTAAGGGCGCCCAACACGGCCTCGGCGAGGAAGCCAACATCATTGGTTTATCTAAGGTTTTGACCCCATTTTGGCCACTTGGGGCGGCACGGCTAATGAAAGCTCCCCTCTTGTTTGATCGATGTTCTCCAAGATGGCCCCAAGAGCGCTCCCAAGACTCAACAGAGCGCTTTCAAGAAGGCCCCAGGAGGCCCTAGGAGGCCCCAGGAGGCGCTTAAGAGGCCTCCAAGAGGCTCCCGAGAGACCCCGAAGAGGCCCCAAGAAGCTCCCCGAGGCACCCATGACGCTCCAAGAAGGCTCCGGGACCGCCAAGAGGCCCCAAAGACGCTTCAAGAGGCCTCCACTGGGGGACCATTCCTCTGCGTGCTGCCCACCTCCCTGATCGAGGCAACTCCTCTGGGCATCGTTTCTGGATGTGCTGGTGGGGTTACTTTTTGTTCGAGAGCGCAAGCGGGAGAGCCGCGCGCCGTCAGGAAGATGCCGAGTAGCAAAGACCTAAATTACAACTGCCTAAAACGGGACCGAACGCGTGCAGCTCCCAAGCGGCGGAACTCTGGTGGGGGTACGCGCGGCGACTAGAATTTCGTTCGCCGTGAAACCCGCGTTCGCCCTCCCTGCTGCCTCCCCGAAGGCCGGCTTCTGCGAATGCAGCCGCCCTTGGTCCTTGGTGGGCTCCAGAGGGCCCAGAAATCTGGCTGCGCAGAGAGGATTTCTCTTGTGGGACGGCACTTCGAAGTCGAAGACGCCACAAACCTAGTTCCACCCGTGTGATATTAAACCGAAGTAAATTTGCCCAAAACTGTCTGGGGAAGGGTGGTCGCGGTTCGACTCGTATTGCCGTCGGTCTTGGAAAATTATTCCGCTATGGGAGCGAACACTGTGTGCATCATGATATTGCCACCCTTCACGCGCAAATTCAGGGGCGCCATCCAGGAGTCCTGCTGCCTGAACCCCACCCGCCGTCCCGCTATCATCTGGGTCCGGGGCGCCAGAAAGGACGAGGAGATTTCTGACGTCAGAGACGGAGAACTCAGCCCCAGTCTTGTGTCATGCCATTCAAACCATGCTGATTTACCCTCGGTGCGGCCCTCAACGCTACAGAATGCTATCCGGAGCTTCTGGGTGCACGGCCGCAGGGCGCCGCCTCGGGAGAGAAAATGGGAGGAGGTTGCAGTAATGCCGATTGCTGGTAAACATGCTTGGCAAGAGTCGGAGGCGTGAATTCGATGATGGTTCATGGCCGCAGTAGTGCCGGCTGCGAAGTCGGGCGAAACATCAATATGTGCGAGGCATGAAGAAGCCCTCGTGTGTGCCTTTTTGGGGGTCTCCCGGGAGACCTTCGTCGCCACGGCTAGACTCGCTTCGGACATCTGGTCAGAACGGACCCTGGGGGAGGTCTGGGGAAAGGCGGTATCGGCCCTTTTCGGTTTCCGACGAGATGTGTTGTTCAATCCCAGCGTTTTTACCCGGTTTCTGACTCACGCGCTCGTTATCCTGCCATGGATCCGTCAAAAACGGATCTGGGACAAAAAACGACACCCCAGGGAAGGGGACGGGGCCTCCGGAGCCGCGCCTCGAAACATCAAACCGTCTGGGAGCAGGGCCTGGAGAAGGCCGCTTGTGTTCAGGATTGTTCTTGTTTGGAAGGTCCCTGCTCCTTCCCTCCTCCTTGGGTCGCCCTCCCTGTATCCTTCCATTTCTCTGCATCGTGGCACAATTCGCACCAACGGCATCCCCGTTGTCATTGCTCTTCCGCCAGCGCAGTTACTCTGCCTAGCCGCCGAGCCGCCGACGCAAAAAAGTTGTTGGTGGGATGCTTTTGTGAAAAATGAAGGCTCCTAGAGGGTGCTCGTCGCCAGGGCCTGGGCCCGCCTCGGAGTTCTGGCGAGAGCGCAATCCCGAGATTTGCGGCGCAGGGTTCGGAGGCACTGTACCTCGACAACATGTTGCATCGCTTCGGGACCGTCTTCACACGCATGTTTCTTCACACCGAATTGAATATTTGCGGCAGGCCGCATGGAGCCGTGGGAATTACACATCCTCATTCTCGATATCCTCTCGCCTCCTCCTCCTCCTCCTCCTTCTTTTTATTCCTCCGCCTCGTCCACCTCCTCTCACATCCCCCTTCTCCTCCTCCTCCTCCTCCTCCTCCTCTTCCTCCTCCTCCTCCTCCTCCTCCTCCGCTCCTCCTCATTCTCCTCCTCCACCACCTCCGCTCCTCCTCCTCCTCCTCCTCCTCCTCCTCCTGCTCACCCTTTTTGTCTCGCACCATCCTGTGCCCTGCACCTGGCCAGTTCAGATTTCGCCGCAAGCGGGCCTGGCCCAAGGCGGAGGTAGAGGAGATACATCTGGAGCGAAGGACAGACGACGAAGAACGGCGGAAATTTGTTTCACGCGTGTGCTGGGACATAATTGCAGTGTCCATTCGCACCCGAATGCCCCTCGAGGTCGCAACGTTGAGCCGAACGCACAGCCGTGTGAGGGTCAGATCCGGGCCATCGTCGACTGGCTTGGACTTGCGGGTCGACGCTCGCTCCTGACGTTGCAGGAGCAAGAGCATGACAATCAGGAGAAGCATGTGGAACACTGGAGAGGTGGGGGAGGGGAATGACTATCACAATGTAAGAGGAGGGAGGGGGAGGAGAGGGAGGGCGGATGTAGGAAAAGGGAGGAGGAGAAGGGTGGAGCAAGCATGCGGATCAGGACAACACGTATTACACCCAATGCACCAACAGCAAAACTATATTCCCGCGACCCCCAGGCCTTCTGGGCCGCCAGGCCCAAGGAACCGAACACGTCCGCGCCCTCCAGGTCATCTGGGAGACACTCTGGCTGCACGTAGTTCCCGCCGACGTGCCTCTTCTTCGAGGCCTCGTCCTGCTTCTGGAACACCTCGCTGAATGGCAGGCGCTCCCAGTTGTAGGTCTCCTGGGGCGGCCTCGGGCTCCTCCATCCTCATCCTCCTCCTCCTCCTTCTTCTTCTCCTCCTCCTCCTCCTCCCTCCCTCCCTCCCTCCCTCCCTCCCTCCCCCTCCCCCTCCCCCTCCTCCTCCTCCTCCTCCTCCTCCCCTCCTCCTCCTCCTCCTCCCTCCTCCTCCTCCTCCTCCTCCTCCTCCTCCTCCTCCTCCTCCTCCTCCTCCTCCTCCTCCCTCCTCCTCCTCCTCCTCCTCCTCCCTCTTCCTCGTCCTCATCCTCGTTCTCCTCCTCCTCCTCCTCCTTCCTCCTCCCGTTTATCCTCCTTCTCCTCCTCCTCGTCCTCCTCCTCCTCGTCCTACTGCTGCGTCTCCTCGTCATCTTCTGCCTCCTCCTCCTCTCCTCCTGGCCAATGGCGGAAGGCGCACTCTGGTGGGGGAGGGACAGGAGGCAGGAGGGTGGGACAGAAGGGATTGGAGGGATGGGAGGACGGAGGAGGACAGGAAAACGAGGAGGAGGAGTTGAAGGAAAGGGGGGGGGACGACAGGGGGGGGGAGCAACCTGGCAGATCGCACAGCCCTACTGGTGGCTGGTCCCTGACATCAGGATGGGGTGTGATGATCGCACGTCCCGAAAAGGTGCCGACTTGCCAAACATGTCGTAAACGAGAATGTGGAATCACACTGAGTGCGGACGACTGTCGGGCAGGGGGGGGAGAAGGACGGAGGAGGATAATGTAGGCAAGCGGACCAGGCGATGGGAGGAGGAGGAGGAGGAGAAGGAGGAGGACCAATGTACTCAAACCTTCCTGTGCCAATAAGTCCCTACAACTATTCCTTTCAACTGCGGGAAACGCCCCCGCCCTCCTACCCCCTACGCAAGAGCGAGATCCCGTTGTGTAAAAGGCCATGGCTCAATCGTTCCAAACATGTAAGACATCCAAAACGGCATGCCACTGAATCCACAGAAATGCCCAATGAGAACTCCAAACTGGAACACGTATGTCCTTTATCCGCGTGAGCGTCGCGCAAACTTAAAATAAGCGCCATCACATTCCGGGACATCTCAAAAAGCACATAATAACAAAACGACCCGCCCTCCATCCGTGCGACTGATACACGTGTCTGAACTCCGGGCAAGGAGACTCAAACACAAATCAACCGGGATCCCCAACATGGTATCGAACCGACTCCAATCCGCGCACCTGCTGCGCATCGTCGAGGCGAACATCCCTTCTTGAAAGCGACGTGCACCATCCGTGCAACTGGGCATTTGGTCCAAACGAAGATGCGCAAGACCAAGACGAGAACCTCATTCTGAAAACGACCCGCCCTTCATCCGAGTAACGCTTGGTTGTTGAAATCAGAGGTTTCGCGACGCGTAACCTTTGGGAAATCCCAACATCGACATCTAATTTCTCAGGACGGTCTTGGCGAGACGCCCGTCCCGCCCACCTGGGAGAAGATGTCGCCCCCCCCTTCTCGGGGGCGCCCAAGAGGGGGCGTCCAAGAGGCGCAAACCATGGGCCGAGGCATGTGCGCGGACGAGGGGGGACCATGAAACGCGTTGAAAGAAGAAGGGAGGTCGTGAAATCCTGAGTGCTTTTTGACAGTAGTATGTAACCGATCGACCTGAGATTAAGATGGCGAGCGGGAATAAGATCGAATATGGGTAGAAAAATATTAGAGTTCTAACGAATGTTCAAATTCCGAGAAAATCATATTAAATCCGCAAAAAAAAAAAGATATCATGGCCCTGGCCATGAAATCCGAACTCCCCCAGCTGTCGTTGCCCCTGGCTTTCTTGCCAACACTTGGCTCTCGGGCGGCCGCTCGGAGCGAGTCGGGCCCGCCCCCGGGATGCCGTCGTCGAGGCGCAGCTGCTGGAGAGCATCCCGAGGCCGGGAAACAAAAAAAGAACACGTGGAAAAAAAACAAAAACAACAAAAAAACACAACAAAGTATACAATCAAAAACACAAACACAACACACACACACACACACACACACACACACACACACACACACACACACACACACACACACACACACACACACAAAAAAAACACACAAACACACAACCCAAGACAAATCAAGAAAACGTCCGAAAATACCCCTCTCGCCCGACTAGGCCCGGCTCCAAGAGACACCGCGCGGACCGCTGACAGAGGGGCGACGACCAGGGAGGCGTCAAGCATTGTTTTCCTCCTACGGCTGACGCGAAACAGTGCTTCCCGTTCTCGCCGTGTTTTCGCTGTCGCACGTTGCCTGCCTTCGTCCCGCCTCTGCTGCACAACGAAACCAAAACGAAAACGGCTCACGACATAGCAAAGACACAGTACAGCACGCGCCCTGGCATTGCTCCTCCCGCGGACCGCGGCGAGTACAAACGGCCCTGCCGGCCCCTCGGCCCGTGGCGTGTCTCTCGGTGTGCGTGCGCGAGTGCCGATGGCACTGCGCACGGGCGGGGCCTCTCTGCTCTGGACCCTTCCTTTCGGAGCGGCCAAGAGGGGGGGTGCCCGAGCGGGGGGGGTGCAAATCCTGACCGGCGGCATGTGCGCGGCCCAGCGGGGGGGCCAGGGACGTAATGAAATAAGAAGAGGAGCCATAACATCTGGGGAAATATCATGGCCCCCGCCATGATATCCACCCACCCCTAGTCATCACCCCCCTCTTCTCCGCCCCCGATCCTTCATTCGCGATAACGCCCCGGACCAGCCCGCCCCCCCCCCCCCCTGCACCCACTCTGGTCACGCTGCGACTCGCGCCCGCGCCGTGTGGGAGCCAGGCCTTCCTGTGCGCTCCCAGACGACACTGGCGCGGATCGTGATGCGACCGGCCCCCTCCCGCACTTCCCCCCCCTCCTCCTCCCGGGCACGCCCGCTCGCCAGGGGGACAAACACAAAAAAATGCCTCCGGAGGAGCCCCCCCGAGGTCTGAGCTGGACGGGCCCCGAGGATACAGTCGGGGCGTTGACCTAAGGAACCCTAAACAAGGAACGAGGCCCCTATTTCCCATAAGTTGAACTTCGATTTCGTATCGGAAACCTACAAGGGTTCCTTCTTCAGGGCCCCGACTGTATGGGTCAAGAGGCTGGGGGGGTCGAGAAGGCCTCCTGCCGTTTGCGGTCACTGGGGGCCGTTTTGGGGCCCGAGGCCGTCAAAAACGGATCCGCGGACGGTGGAAACTACGACAGATAAGACCAAGGGAAGTGTCCGAAAGGGGGCCGACTTTGAGCGGATGTGCACTTGCTCCTCCCAGGCCGCATCCGTCCCCCCGCCCCCCTCTCCGGGTGAAGGATAGAAGGGGAGACCCAGGAGAGGGGCACATCAACCTAGAATCGGCGATACCACATCGCCGATACGTCGTCGACAGGCCCCCGACGAGGAATCCGCGCGGTCCTGGGCGGGGTAGGCTATCAGGCCCCTGTGGGCGATGAGTGTCGGGCGTTGGCAGAACTGGGTTTAGTGGGACCTGGTTTAATGATGTGTACTGGGCCCCCCGCTCCACTAACCGGAATTGCCGCCACACGAAAAAACACCACCTACGGCAGACCTGGTTTAGTGATTCTGGCGAATTTAGGGGCTCCAGGGCCCTACCACTAACCGCGTCCCCTTGCCTGGGGTCCTGGCTATACCCGAGAGTGGGCGATTGGGCGTCGACGCGTTCCCCCCTGAGCCTATCCCCGTCGGCTGCCGTTCGGACGATCCGAGCACCTGGAACGCCCTCGGCGAGGCGTAGCTCCTGGAAGGCATCCCGCGGCTGGCCGGCCGACGAGAGCCCACGAAAACACCCGAATGCCCCGAACCGCCAACAAATAGTTGTTTTTTAGTGGATTAAGAACTGCGGGCGGGCAGAATTCTGCCACGTCAGACGACGTCGCAGCTGTCGCGAGACGAGGAGGAGGCGTCATTTGATTACCATCACCGCCTTACCAGCGCTCCAGCAGCACTAGGAATTCAAATGAGCATTGGTTGGGGGCGCAAGATCGCAAAACATGCTCCTTTGACCACTACCTAGCGCATCCCATACGCAATCAGAAGCAATAATTGAAAGGTTATCATTGAGAACTGCCCTGGCCGACGGCCACTTACGCAACTCATTACCATCGGGACTTGCTTCAGGTGGCTCAGTTCTGAGCAAAACCTGACAACACGCACCAACCGGATGTTCGAGAGTGAAACGAGGCTCCAAGCGAACCACAATGAAGAATACCATGCTTTTAATTTCACTCGACCAAACGGATACCACATCGCGAGGGAACAAAACACCTCCGAACGATTCATTGAACCATGGCTCAACCACTTGCAAAAAATCGAAGGGTGGACCGTCGCGCTGGTTCTGATCAGCCTCGCTGTAGACCTTGACGGTGGCCAGCTCGACTGTAGGAAGCGACGCACACGGAGTAACAATCGACGAGATCAGTTTGCGCGTGTCTGGCAAATGGCCGTTTTCCTTCCCCAAGGCGCATGTTGACCGCCAATCTCTACTTTCTGTCCAGAAATCGAGCAATAAGAACGGCTCTCTCGGACCCCACACTGGAGCTCCATTGTAAAGCATAAGACGTCTCGGAAAAAGCAACCGAGGATCTACTTCAGGACCGTAGGCGCGCGATCTGGATTTGATGTGCACACCAAGGCTAGATGATGGATCTTCGCTGCCGTACCAACCACTGCAAGGCCATACATCTACGTACGGGTACATGGTGCGCGTCGAGACCACGCGAATCATGGCAGCCCGGACGGGTGGTATAACTAATCGTCGATTGAAACGCTTTAACACAACTTGTGCTTCAAATACCTTTGCCCACAATTTCTTTCGACGCGACCACGAGAGGGCATTTGTCAAATAGCCTTCCAAGCCCAAACTGTTCGCTAACATAACATATTCGGACAATAAATATGTGTGAAATAACGTGTTGGAATTCCCTGGGACGCAAATGTCAATATCATCGTCCCAAGGGATATTGCCATGGTGGCGTATGGCCCCCATCAACGTGCCAGCTGGGATTACAATGTACGGCGTCGTCAGCACATCCAAAACCTTCCGGGTCGTGTCAAAAATTGCGTCCAACTCCGCACGCAACACGCCTTGGTTCTCCGTTCCAAGACGGTCGGTAAAAAGATGCTCCATGGAAGCCTGATAGACCGTTGCAGAATCCACTGCCCAATCAACTTCAGAATATCTACGCGCATCACGCGCGAGTGCACTCAGAAGCCCGAGCACTGGCCACCCCGCGGAGCCGAGCAGCAGGTGCGAGATCTGCTCGAACGAGAAGATGTCTGCGATGGTGTCCAGCGCGTACTGTGGTGAGAAGCGCTCCCGCTTCCCATGCACAGCACCAGAAGGGTCGTCTGATAAGCTGAGCAGTGCCAGCGAAATTGCCATGTGCATGACTTCGCATGGCGTGATGCCTGCACCTCCATCCCGCAAAGTATGGTAGCTCTCAACCCACTGAAAGGTACCCTCGCGCATCGCTGCCGTCAAGAAGAAGTATGCTGCCGATGTGTTAACAGCTTCTCCATGCGCCAACGCTGTGGAAATCTCGAGCCTGAACATCTCGGCTTCTGCGCTGGTCCAGAATTCACGCTGAACCTGGGAGCAGGACTCCGTCATAGATGTTCGGCCCAGACGGTCTGGATCGATACGCATATGATTTTCTTGAGAAACAAGTGCCGCATGTTCTGTCAGCATGTCCAGCACCTCGAAGATGGGCCAGCCTGTTGCATAAAACTGCGACCAGTCAGCACGCCACAACAGTTCGAGATCTTGGTCAAGTGCCTGCGTGGGGATAGTTTGTGACTGAAGATATGCAAGGAATCGCACGGACATCCATCCAGGAAGGCAATCGTTTGGCACTTTTTGGTTTGGTTGACCAAACTCGAAGCCGTTGGGGAAAATTGACGCTGCCTGGCGAACACCGCGCATGACCCACGCCACCGAGGCCGCGCTCACATTTTCAAACCCAGGCGCAGCCAGGACAAATTCAGTAAGACCTTCTCGAACCAATGCCCAGTGGGCGTCACACACGTCGCGCTGACCTACAATCAGGCACGCGCTGCCAATCAGACCTCGAATCAGGAAATGCCCAAACATCCGAATGCCATGCACGCGACAAAATTGCAGATGTGCTAAAACGGCATGGGGCAAACGCTTGAGCTAAAATGGCTACGGACCCCCGAGCCCAAACACCTTGAGACCGAAAACCCCTGAGCCTACCCCACCCTAGCGTCCCCCCTGAGCCTTATCCCCCCCCCCCGACGTCGCCCCATGGCGGCCCTGGGCGGCGTGGGCTACCAGGCCCCTGTGGGCGATGAGTGGGCGTTTGGGCGTCGGTGCATGCCCCCCCATGGCGCCTCCTCCCCCCGTGGAGCATCTGACCCGGGTCAATCCAGACCCGGGTCAGCAGGAAACCAAAAACTGCAACGCAGGAAAAAAAAACTGCAGCGCAGGTCTTCGCAAACCCAGGTCAGCCAATGTGCGCGGCCGCCTCGCGGCCACGAGCGGCTCGCTAACCCGGGTCAGCCAGAGGGGGTCTTCGCAGGATCCTGCAGGATCCTGCAGGATCCGGTGCCCTGGCTGACCCCCGTTTGCATTGACCCCGTCCCCAGACCCCCGACGTCATGATTTCTTTATTACGTGACGCCTGGAGGTCTCGACCCATTCCCCTGGACCAGTGTTTCATCCCGAGTCGTTTTTTGACGGTCCCGAAGCCTGGCGAGGGCCCCCCGATACCGAAAATATAGAAAAAACTCCCGTCATGATTTTTTCATTACCCGAGGGGGTCTGGGTCTCGAGGCGCCTCCTCCCCCCCCCCGATGCTGCTCCCCGGCCCGGCGGCGCGGCGGCGGCTGCGCGCGGCAGCGCCGACGGCCCGCGAGACGCCCGAGGTCCGAGCGCCAGCGGAGGTCCAGGGGCCACTGGCCTCCCGCCCGCCTGCCCACCTGCCACCGCGGCCCCCCTCCTCCCCCTCCTCCTCCTCCTCCTCCTCCTCCTTCCTCCTCCCCTCCTCCTCCTCCTCCTCCTCCTCCTCCTCCTCCTCCTCCTCCCCCTCCTCCTCCTCCTCCTCCTCCTCCTCCTCCTCCTCCGCCCACCTAACGTTCGGCGGCGCGCCACGGGGGGCACCCGCCAGGGGCAGCGAGGGGGGGGGAGGAGGGGGAGGGGGAGGGGAGAGGGGGAGGAGGAATGAGGAGGAGGAGGAATAAGGAGGAGGAGGAGGAGGAAGGAGGAGGAGAGGGAGAGGGAAGGAGAGGAACGAGGAGGAGGAACGAGGAGGAGGAGTACGAGGAGCAGGAATGAGGAGGAGTAATGATGATGATGATGATGATGATGATGAGGAGGAGGAGGAGGAGGAGGAGGAGGAGGAGGAGGGGGAGGAGGGGGAGGAGGAGGAATGAGGAGGAATGAGGAGGCAGCGGCACGGTGGCAGACGGGATGGGCCGCAGGCCACTGGATCCGCCGCAGGCCCAATGTGCCTGCCACGGGGGTGCCTGGCGTGCCGACCTCTGCGGCTCCTCCTGGCCCTTCTAAACATCGGCGGCGACCGAAGACTCGGCACGAACGGAATGGGTACGGAAAGAGTGGGTACGGAAATGATGGGTACGGAAAGAATGGGTACGATGCCCAACATTTGTTGTTGGGCATTGTACCCATTCTTTCCGTACCCATTCCGGGCGTCCAAAAGGAAAGGGAACGAGACGGCGAAGGCCTTCTCAGACGGCGGCGGGGCTTCTCAGAAGTCCTCCGGCCTTCTGAACAGTATGCTGTGTTTTCGGGGGAGGCTTAGCAGACTCCTTAGAAGGCCCGAGGCCATCCGAGCCTTCTGAGAAGGCTCGCCCCGTCTCACTTCACCCCCCCCCAGGCTCGCCGCCAAGGAGTGGCAGGCGGCAGCCCCGCGTAGCAAACCTACCATGACCCACGCAAGAGCGGGTGCAGAAAAGATCGTGGGCAACAACCAATTCGACTAAGCGGCCTCGTGGGCCGGGCCCCGGGGCTGCGATCCCGGGAATGCCCCGCGCGGAACGTATCCGTGCGACCGCGTATCCGCGAGATCGCGCCCTGGAAGCCAAACCGCGAGGGCGCGGATACAGATATGCTCGCTGCTCGTGAAGCAGAGGGGCCCCGCCGCAACCGCCGGGTTCGACTCCCACGCGAGGCAGCAAGAACCCGCCACAGGCGCCGGTGCTGCTCGGGAAGCAGGGCGTTTCCGTATGCCCGCCCCACGACGAATCGAGACTGCTCGAGTCGCCAACCCATAGGGCGCTCGACTCTCCCTCCCACCCCGTTTCCCTCCTCCTCCTCCTCCTCCTCCTCCTCCTCCTCTTCCTCCTCCTACTCCTCCCCGAGGGGAGTGGCGCCAAGAATCAGGGGCACCAAGAATCAGGGGGGGAGCCCCGAGCGAAGGATGCTGGGTCGTCTCCAGGAACTTGCGCCTTGCCCAGATCACGTAGGGGATAGCGAGGGCCGAGATGACCACGGGCGCCGTGATGGACCCTACGGTCTCGTCACCTCGGCAGGCAGGAATGACGCGAGCAGCCCAAGCTTACAATTCTGTCAAGACCGCGCGGGTTTCCTGGGTCGGCATTGCACCCCTGGCCCCACACCCCTTCCCTGGCGCACACTGCTCCCCTCGCCCACCACGAGGAGATTTCAGTGACGGCCCTCAGATCTCCACTCGGATCTCCGACAGCGTGTGATACATTCAATGCGTTGTCCTCGGTCACCGTCGGTCTCGGGGCTGACACGGCAGTAAAACACGCCCGTCATGCACACGACGTATATCATCAGTCCGACGTAGATGTGCGCGAGCTGCGTTGCCCAAAATACGCCTCCGAGGTCGGTCTTCTTGGTCTCGGCAAAGACCATCGTGTACCCGTAGACAACACGGCAGACAAAGAAATTGACCCACGTCAGAAGGTTGATGGGTGGAGACATTGTGCCGTAGACGAGGCCGATGCACATCATCGTGGTGAAGCGGGCGGAGCGGGAACCTATGCCGTAATAGTGCTGGTCCTCAGGCTCACACATCTTGGCTGCCTCCTCCTCCGAATAGAGGGCGCTGAAGCCCTTGAACTTCGAATACTGGACGTACCGCGTGAGGTTCATGAAATGCACGAACCATTGCAACACAATATAGTTGCAGTAGTAGTGCGTAGCGTACGGCAACGTGTCGCCCAGCAACGAGAAGACCGAGAAGGGCGATGTGAGCAGGGCGTCCGCGAACTCGAAGAAGTCGGTGCCGACCGCCGCGATCATGATCACGAAGACCACGTTGAACCAAAAGTACCAGGTCTGTACCTTGTGCTGCGCCCATGCCCCCGCCTTGAGGGTGAAGAAGTTTTCAAAAATGATCATGAGAAACGTGGGAAGGAAAGCAACCATGACCTGAAGGCCCATAGTGGGAGCCACTACGCTCCACAAAGTATCGAGCGAACCCATGTCAACGAGTTCCGCAAGATTCGTAATGACGACCACGATCGGTAAGTAGGCCATGTAGAGCCCTACAACGAGCATGAAACCGGTGAGCTCGCGCCCGAACCGCGCATTAGGATCCTGCTTCAAATCGACCCACAGGATGTCAGCAGGCGACGGCGGGTTCTCGATGATCCAATCGCTCAAATCTTCGTCGACATTCACTGCCAGAGCAACTTCCGCGCAGCTGCGCTCGGCGAAGGTGACGAAGCCCGTCGAGAGATTAACACCTCCAACTGTTTTGCTGTCCTCCTCCAACTTCTCGCGCTCGGCCTTGATTTGCCCCTCGATCTCGACGAGCTCCTTCTGGTACGAATCGATGCTGTCCACTTTGGTGCCGTAGATGCTGACGCTGCTAGTCGAATGCTGTGGACGCTTCTCCGGGTCCTTCCCGCTCAACTCCCATATCGCCTCGGCCTCCCGGAGCAGACGCCTGAGCTCGATGCGGCGATTCCAGTGAGTGAGCAGATCCCCCGAGTCCTTCACACAGTGCGCGTCCAGGATGCTCTGTCCAGGAAACATGCGGTCAAAGAAATCGTAGAGCAGGTCGTCTCTCTGGTACTGCTCGGGGATGCCGTCCACAAGGATCGTGTTGGCCCGCACCCTGTCCATCTCGCGAAGCCACTTGAAGCGAAGATGTAAAAAGTCTGCTTGCGCGGCGCAGATCTTCTTGTGAACTAGTACACAAACCATCCAGACAACAACCGAGTAGGGGTAGTAGAGCCAACTCCCATACTCAACGTTGCCAAAAGACAATAAGCTCATGTTGTCTCCATCTGCCGCATTTCCCCCAAAGAGTAGATTACAAGTGCCCCCGATACAAATCATGGGCACGCCGATCCACTTCATGATGTTCATGCCCAAGTCGCAGAACCTGAGCAACATGGCTTGATCCAGACCCACGGAGTCGCTGACCTTATCCAAATCGACGTAATACGAGGTCGACACCCAACCGCTGAAGGAGTTAGGAGGAACTGGAAGCGAGCCCCCCAGCGCAAAGCCTTTTGTCACGTTCTTGCTGTATACCAGCGGGTACCGTCTGCGAGCAATGCTGAAACCCACGAAAATAATCCCGATCAAGATGATGTACATAAGCGACGTTTCGATGAAATCCTGAAAAGGAGAACCACGTACGACAAACAAACGACTGTGCGACACATGGCCCGTTATGATTTCTATCACCATCCACCGCACACATCCGCGTGCCCAAATTAAGGGCACTGCTGGAAATTATTGTCGTAGGTCAGTTACACGTCCTGTCCCATAGTTCATATTTTCAAATCTCTTGGGACTTGGCGCGTGTCCCCCAGGTCCCAGCGCGTCTTCCCCCGCAGTCGGCCGAAAAGGTGCTCGAGTCGTTCCAGGAGGCCTCCACGAGCCCTTCCAAGAGGGCCCCCTGAGAGGCCAAAGCAGTGGATTATCCTATGGTTTATTCGATGTGTCTGGGGTTCTCTATGTTGCGAGCCTCCGACGCTCCAGGCCGTCCCAAGAGGCCTCCAACATGGCTCCAAAACAGCCCACGAGGGCCGCAAGTCGGCCCAAGACGGCCCCAAGAGGGCCCCAAGAGGGCCCCAAGACGGCCCAAGAGGCGCCCAAGACGGCCCAAGAGGGCCCCAGGAGGGGGAGCACGAATCAAACATCGGAGCCTTCCGCCCCAAGAGGCCCCCAGGAGGCCCCGAAGAGGCCCCCACGAGGCCTCCGAGAGGCGCCCACGAGGCCCCCAGGAGGCCCAGCAGTGGCCCCGAGCCCCGAGGGCCTCAGAGCTGTCTCCGGGAGGCTCCCGAGAGGCCGCGACGAGATCCCGATGAACATTCCAGAGGCCTCGGACCCACCATCCTGACTACCTACCAGACCACCCCAACCCAACCCGAAGACACGAATTTGACCCGAATTTCGGGCTGGGGGGGGTACGGGGACCATGTGTTTTTTCGATGTTCCCCGACCCCCCCCCCACTGGAAATGGAGGGCACATTGAAGTCTTCGGGTTGGCTGGTTTGCTTGGTGGTGACATCCGGGCACAGTGGCGGGATGTGCCGAGTGCCATCTGTCCCGATGAACATTCCACTGGCCGTCGCTCGGACGTCCATTTCCTGTGTTTTTTTTTTGGTTTCGTGCGTGGTTGTTTCGCCAAATGATCGAGGATGCTCCTCGATGGTTCTCGCCGAAGGAAAAATGCACACGTCCGAGCGATACCAAGCATTTGATCCGCCGCCCCTTGTGCCTGCCACAGGGGGTGCTGGGCGTGCTCACTGGGACCTCGGTCCCCTGGCGCCGGCCGCCGAACAGGCCGCGCAGGCTCCCCCGAAAAGCCCAACTCAATGGGCCCGATCGCCACCAAGACGGCCAAGATGGTCTCCGAGATGCCTCCAGCCTGCCATCGCTCGGACGTCCATTCCCTGTGTTTTTTGTCGGTTTCGTGCGTGGCTTTTTCGCCAAATGATCAAGGAAGCTCCTGAATGGTCTTCGCCGAAGGAACAATGCACACGTCCGAGCGATGCCAAGCCAGGACGCTTCCAAGACGGCCCAGATGGCCCCATGAGAGCCCAAGATGGCCCCAAGGTGCTCACAAAACGGCCCAAGATGCACCCAAGACGGCGCAAGATGGCCCAAGAGGCCTTCAAGACGGCACGAGAGGTCTCAAAAAGGTCCTCCAGGAGTTCCCTTGTGTTCTTAACTGATTTGGCATTTCCTCAATTTCGGTTCTCCGACGGCCTTAGACTACCCAAGGGGTCCCCAAGATCGCCCCAAGATCGCCCAGGAGGCCTCCAGGACGGCCCCATGACGACCCACGGGGTCCAAAGAGGGCCCCCGAACGGCCCAAGAGGCCTCCAAGACGCCTAAAAAGGTCTCTTAGACGGCCAAGATGGCCCCAAAAGAGCCCAAGATGGCCCAAAGATGTCTCCAAGCCGGCCCACCGTGCATCCAAAACGACCTAAGATGGCCTCAACATGGCCAACGACGGCCCAAGAGGCCTTCAAGAGTTCTTCAAGGCGGCCGAAGAGGCCTCCAAGACTACATACAGAAAGGCCCAAACAGGCAAAACTTATGTGCTAGTTGTTCCGCTTCGGTTGTTTAAGATGTGTTCCTTTTCGGCCGTCCGACGGCCCAAGACGGTCCAACAGACACCCGAGGTAGCTCCAAGATCGCCCAAGAGGCAGCCGATACGGCTCTATAACGGCCCAAGGGCCCCCAAGGCGGCCCCGAGGGGGCCCAAAGACGGCCCAAGAAGCCCCCAAGACGCCCAAGATGGCCTCCAAGGCGGCCAAGATGGCTCCAATACGGCCAGGAAGACCCAAGATAACCTCGAAGACGGTCCCAAGGCGCCTCCAGGACTGCCCAAGATTCCATCCAGACGGCCGAAGAGGCCCCGAAGACGCCTCAACTGGGCTCCAAAAGGGCTTCCAGGAGTCCCTAATCAATGAGCCGTGCTTTTAGCGGTGTCGCCTTTTCAGGCGTCCGTCGCTCCAAGGCGGGCCCTCGAGCCCCCAAGATCGCCCCAAGACGGCCCAGGCAAGAGGCCTCCATGAGGCCCGCAAGGCGGTCCACGAGGGCCCCCAAGACGGTCTTAGAAGCCTCCAGAACGGCCGCCAAGAACCCAAACAAGGACCCACGACTGCCCAGGAAGGGCCCAAGGCGAGCTGTGGAGGCCAGGAGGCCCACAATAGGCCGTCAAGAGGTCCTCAGGAGGTCCCGAAGAAGTCCCCGAGGTCCCAGGGGACCCCCAAGAGTTCCCAGGAGGCCCTCCAAGCCCCACGATTCCATTTAGAGCCCCCCCTAGGCTCCCAGGAAGTCCCCAAGAGCCCCAAGAGAGCCTCAAGAGGCCTCCTCTTGTTCCTCCTCTGCCTGCTCCTCCCTCTCCTCCTCCTGTCGCTTGGCGCAGATGCTGCGCTCTGCGTGGCGGCGGCACCCGCGACCCCAGCCGGCACGACGCCACTTTCTTCCGCTGCTTCCTCCGCCATGCCCCGTCATCCCTGCGCTCACGAGCGCAAGAAACAGCACCATCACGGCACCCCCCTAGACCAGCCGTGCACTGTCCACCCCGGCAGCGCGTGGCCCCCGACAGCCTTCGGCCACAGTTTCGACACAGGTCACTGCACCGATGAGGTGCCCCTGGACCGGCCATGCGCTGTCCACCCCGGCAACGCGCGGCCTCCACCGCCGCAGCCAGGGCCAACCGCCGGCAGCTGCAGCGCCAGCGCTGGGCCTTCTGGCCCTGTCGCCCCGCCTGTTGGGGTCTCCCCGCAGGCGGGGCGGTCCTACCTCACCCGTCTGGTTCTGCCGCTCGATTTCTGCTCCTAGCCCCCTCCTGCTGATCTCTCTGGTGCTCCGTCCTTCCCCCGCCGCCCTGTCCATTCCTTCCATCCTCTTGATCTTCGACTGTTTCAAGGGCTACACCACATAAAAACGTGGCAGGAAAAGAAAATCGACTCCCCAAGGAGGGTACGATCGAAAGACGAAGAGGTTTGGTATCAAATGTTTGGGAGATACATGTTGACTGGCACGCGAGCAGATACGAACGAACGCTTTAAGCAGATTGTTGGTGTTTATTGTTTATTGTCGTCATCCTATCCGTGACCCACCGCTCCCACCACGCGATTCGCACCCGCGACCGACTAGCGACCCACCCGCGACCCACCCCGCGACCCACCTGCGACACACTCTGCGACCCACCCCGTGTTTTCCCGCGACCAACTCCGAGACCCACCTGATTGCCCAGAGACCCACCCGCGATCCACCCAGCCATTCCGCGACCCACTTCTCGACCCACCCGCGATCCAACCGTGACCTGCCCGCGAGCCCGCCCGCGACCCACCCAGGACTCACACTCACTCACAGTGCTGTCACAAAGAAATCCGCGCGTGCGGCGGGCTCGGTGCTATGCTGTGGCAAATTGTCCCAGAAGTCCGTGAGGTCGCCTGCCGCATTCTCCGTCACGCCGGTGGGGTTGTACGTCGTCGACGTCGTTCCCGAATCCGAGGCCACCTCTGCGAGGATGGCGGCGCCACCGGCCGCCGCCGCGGCATCCGCCTCAGGGTCAAGGCGGGGGGCCTCCTGCTTATCTGCCTGCACCGCTCGTCTTCTTGCAGGGTCGTTTGCCTGCCTCCTTCTCCTCCTCCTCCTCCTCCTCCTCCTCCTCCTCCTCCTCCTCCTCCCACTCCTCCTCCATCCACTGTCATTCTAAATACCTCCTCCAAGTCGCCCCCGCCAAATGTGTGCGTAAGCAGGGCCGGGCGTGTCGCCTGAAACTTCGCCACCATTCAGGATTCTGAAACTGGGAATGTCTTTCAAGGATGAAGGACGGTTCGTTTTCAAAATGGAGCTCTCGCACCATCGCCACGCACATTCGTCTTTAAAGTGGTTTGCACAAGGTTCAAGGACGGAGGGCGGATAGTTTACAAACTGAAGTTCTCGCCATAGCGCCACGCACATTCGGTTTTTGATGTCGTAGTTGTTCCAAGGTGGGAGGCGGGTTCCATTTCAAAATGTGGCTCTCGCCTCAGCGACGCGAGCAGTTCCCCAAACGGTGCTTGCACATAGGGGTTCTTGCGACCCTTGTAAAGCACCAGGCCCGTCTGCGAGCCTGGCTGCCCCGTTCCCGCTCGTCGGCGCCCCATGTTCCCCAAGAAAGGCCCGTCTGCGGGCCCGGCGGACCCTCTCTTGTCCGCGGCCGCGCCACGTAGTTTACAGTTTACACCACATAGCTTGCACTACGCTCCATATAGTGCACTGCGTGGACAGCGCCATTTAGATTGCGCCACATCGCTTACACCACATAGCTCACACCGCGCAGACTGCAGCACATGGCTTGCATCACATATTTAGCTCATACCACCAACATTGCACCACATGGTTTGCACTTCATGGCTTGCTCCACGTAACTCGTACCACATGTATTGCGCCACGTAGCTTGCACCTCACAGCTCACAACACATAGATTACACCTCATAGATCAGTCTAGATACCTGCCACATCCAGAGTGCAACATCTCATTCTTTGGGGTCCACACTGGCTGGCAAACACCTCAAAATTCGCAGGGTTGAAATACCAGGGAAGGTGTTGTGGCACAGTCCAAGATTGCCAGGACGCGGCAGCCACGAGGAGTCGCAACATCGAAGTCCCTGAAATGGCGTTTTGGCGCGAACCAAAACTGTCAGGACGCAACTGACACAGTGTAAGTCCAAGGATCTTTGTTTTGGCACGACCTACGAGTTTCAAACAAGACTGACATTGAGGGGAGCCCGAATCCTATTGTTTCTGACAAACCTACTGTTTCTGTTCGCTGGTCCTGGCGGGCTATGTGACATGTGTGCGGGATCTGGGGGAGCGTGAAGCCCTGCTTTAGAAACAAGGTTTGATAAACGAGTTGGCCGAAGTTGACAGATTGAAGCAGTGAAGATGTTCCAATCATTTAAAACATATTGAGCTCAAAGTCGGGGATTATTGAAAATGTCAGTCCCAAGATTTCGGTGTGAAATGTTGAACATTGAACATTTCAATTGTGGACCTTCCAGATTGGCGATTGGAAAATCGAACACTCCAATCCAGTCTCCCCCAGATGGAAAATTGGAAAGATCTTAGAGTGTTATAATATGTTCGATATTTGTCATGCTCACTCCCAGGTCTCCGTGTTGAAATATTGATTAGAAAAACTTAGCCTGCCAATCTGGGAGGAGCAATTTGCGAGGATGACTCGAACGACGAGCCCGTTTGAGCACCCCGCGGGGAAGTCGTCAGGCGGTGCTAAACTTGCCCGCTCGCGGCCATATGGTAGGGGTGCCGGGAGCGAAGCACGATTGCGGTGTGTTCATCCGAGGGTTTTCCGAGCACGACTCTCAAGGATTGGGGGACGTGGTTCTCGCAAGGGTTTTGTCCCATCACCCCCTGGCAAACACTTCAGGCTTCCGATGACACTGAGGCCGGAGCGACCTCTGGGGCCCGTGGCGCCTCTGGAGCCAGTAGAGCATGCGATGCATCTGGGGCACAAGACGCGTCCAAAACCCTTGGGAGAGCCACGTCCTCACATCCTTTGGGACAGCAGCGGCTCCCAAACCCTCGCAGGAACCTCGCAAGGTGCCGCACTTTACTGTCTCGCCCGCGTGACCCGCCCTGCCCGACCAGTCGCGACAGGGGCCCACACACTCTATGTTACCCTAGCCTGATCGGCCTGGCCCCTTCGCCCCACACACCCTTGCATCCCCAGCCCTATTCACTGGACCTGCCAGCGGGACCCGCGCAGCCTTGCACTTCATTGTCCCGCCCGCCCGACACGCCCTGCCCCGTTGGACCCGATCTGCCCGTCCACGCACGGAGAGAAGCTTACATCTTGATGCCCCGCCTCCTCCCCGACCCGGCCTGCCCCGCGGGCCGCCCTCCGCTCGACCGCGCGCGACAGAGAGTCCAACCCTTCCACGCACCGCCAGAATCGCCTCGTTCGTTCGCCCCGCTACGCCCAACCACGCTCGAGGGGCCATGCACGTTGATGCCCCGTCCGCCCGACGCACCTCGCTCGTTGACCCCGCCCGACCGCACGCGATGCACGAGAACCCCGCACTTTCTTCATGTCAAACCCGCCGGACCCGCTCTGATCCGATGGTCCCGCTTTGCTCGGCGGCCACGCGCGATAGACATCCCCGTACTTTCAGGTCCAACCCGCCCGACCCGCCCTGCCCCGTTGGCCCGGCTTCGCCCGACCATGCGCGAGAGGGCCCCGCACTTCACTGTCCCGTCCGCCCCACCCTCCGCGCCAGCGTGCGCCGCGTCGCCCGACCACGCTCGAAAGGGAGCCCTGCGCTTGAATGTCCCGCCCGCCTAACCCTCCTCGTTCGTTGGCTCCGCTCCGCCCGAGCACACGCGAGAGAGAGCGCCACGCTTCCAGGTGACCCAAACTGGGGTCGAGCTGAGAGGGGGTGGTGCAATAGGTTTGGGGCAATTGTATTGCAAATGCACTGCGCCAGGGAATTGGATTGCATTGTATTGCAAATAATGTATTGCACGCGGAAGTCCAGCAATACATTTGCGCCGCGGAATGTACTGCACGCCCCACATGTATTGCAACCCCACAAATCTATTGCACCACCCCCTCGTCGCATGACCCCCTTTTGGGTCAACCCGAACGCTTCAATGTCCCGCCCGCCCGACCCAGCCTGCCCCGCTGTTCTCGCTTCGCCCGGGCACACGCGATAGAGCCCCGACACTGGAAAGTCCCACACGCCCGTCTCGCCGCGTTCGCGGGCCCCGCGTCGCCTGACAACTCTCGAGGGGGTCCTACACTTCAACGTCCCGCCCGCACGACCCCTCTCGACCCTCCACCCGGCCACGCTCGAGAGAGTTGGAGGCCTGGGAATTGGCACCAACACCATCACAGGGGGTTGCCTCCACAGGGGGAAGATGATCCTCGATTTCGGCGTCGGTGGTAATATTTCGGTTACCTTGGGAGCCAGAATATTACCACCATCGCCCAGATCGGGATCTTCTTCCCTCGGTGGAGGCGCACCGCCGATACTGGTGTTGGTGGCAACTTCTAGGCCTGCGAGAGAGCCTCTCGGTGTGATGAATGCCCTGCCCGCCCAGCCCGTCTGCCCCGTTGGCGCGTCTTCTTCGAGAGAAACCTCCCACTTGAGTGGCCATCCCGCCCAATTCGCACCTGCCCCGTTCGCCCTGCGCCGCCCGACCACAGTGGACACACACACACACACACACACCTTGTGGAGGACGATCAGGGGAGAAGAAGCACGTTGCCAAATACTTCCCAGATGACTGAAACAAGTATTAAACATGCTTCAAACACGTAAATAAGGGACGTGAAAACGACCACAGCCACTGCGTTTCTTTTGTTGCCGCCTTCCAGCCCGCAGAAACAAAGCAGTGGTTGTGGTCATTTTCGTTGAGCTTGGCACCAGGGAAATGACCACAACCACTGCTTCTTTTTCGGCCGGCTGGAAGGCGGCGCAAACAAGAAGCAGTGGGTGTGGTCATTTTCACGTCCCGCAGTAAAACACAAATTTAAAACATGGTTAAAACATTCTTCCTGCATGTTCAACACCCTTGAAATTCATGATAGGACTGTCAGGGTGTCCATGGTCGTGGCATCCACAACACAAACCCGGCACAAAAATCGAATGTTCCGGCCACCCCAGCTCGTGTCGCCCGTGAGCTCTGGGTCGCCGTGTTCCGCGCGCGGCAAAGATCAGACACTCTGGCGCCCCGCCTGCCTGACCCGCTTCGCGTCTCTGGCCCTGCCTGGACGACAACCGTAAACTTTGTTGTCCCGCCTGCCCGGGTCGGGCCAATCTCCCGACCTGCTCCACAGAGAGATATGAGGTACGAGAGCGACCAGATTGAACATCCCGAAATTACAAATAGAAAACCACATCCATCCCGATTGAACACATTCCTTGAACCAACGATCAGCTTTTCAATCAGGCAAACCATAACTTAACATTTAAAACTTGTAGTTTTCAGTACGCAACCAGGGAGTTAGACCTCCTATTTCCAAAGTTTCAAGTGTCAGTTCCTCAAGCCGACGGTATTATTTTCATGTTTAATGTGTTCCCAATCATCCTGTGGATTGGGGTCTTCATTTTCAAGTGACAGCGCCCCGCGTCCTTGCTCCCGTCCCTGCCTCTGCCCTCCGCATGCCAACCACTCCGATACACCCCTCACACGCTTCTCACCCCCATAGGGGGCTCCACCGAAAACCCCACGAGGCAGGGTCCGCACCTTCTCACAGCCCACAGGCCCACCAAGGAATGGTGTCAGGAGGATTCAGCAAGCCCGCGGCGGCAACTTGGTGGCTTCGGCCAGTCGTGGCAACATCCTCGCGCGCCGCGTGCCCGTGTGGACGGCTGGGCGGGGAAGCTCCCGCGCCAGCCGTTGACCCCCAAGTGGTGGTGGCGTCGCCGCTTCGCGGTGGCACTGCTCGGGCCTCGCCCAGGCGCCGCGCGGTGCTGAACGCGCCGCCCAGCGGCCCGCCGCGCAGCCGCGGCCTGGCGCCCGCAGGCCGCGCCCTTGGCCTGCCGCTGCGCTGCGCGGGGCGCCCGGCGGGGGCGGGCTGCGCCCTCCCCCCTGGCGTGATGTTGCTCCCGTCGTACTGGAGGACCACATCCCCAAAATAGTTTCGAGCGCCCAGAAAAAAGTGTCGAGACGGTGTCGGAGCAGTGTCGGACGAGCGTCTCCCAGGGCCCGACGAGTGGCAACCATTGAGTTTCGGTACTCTTTTGGGGGGCTCGGAATTCTTTCTCGTGATCAAAGCTAAAGTAGGTTGGAACATCATAGCCCTGGCGCCGCTTCAGGCATGCTCTGCCCAGAACTCGCCCAGCGTCGCGCGGTGCCGCGTGGTTCTCGGGCGTCGCTTCACGGGGGGGTGGGCGCGAGAAAAAAGGGGGCGAAAGACAGGTGCAGTGCTCGGGCCCCACGGCGCCCCTTTTATGGGCCCTGGGGCCCGTTGTTTGCAGCCCTCGCTTCACCCCCCACCCCCCCCCAGCACGCGACGCCCGAGGGTCTTGCCCGCCCTTGCTCCTGGGCGAAATAGCAAGTGCTGGGCTCGCGGGCTCACTCCGTGTTCCGTGGCATGGGCGGCCGTCTGTCGCACGGGCTTCCAGGGCCGCCCTCCGTGTCTGCGCGGCGCGGGCAGGTTGGCCACGGCGAGGCAGCTGGTTGCCTGGGCCGTATTTCGCGCCCCCCTCTGCAGGGCAGCTTGGCAAACATGTACTCTCTACAGCGGGGGTCGATTGGAGAGGACACGCGAGAGGTCACAAGACCCTTCCGAGGCCACCTTGCCACAGGAATGTTAGACGGCATGGGTCGCGAAGCTCAGGACACAAAGGTACCCTTGATTTGACAGGGTCGACCTACTAATCAGACTCGACTGTAGCCTGTACTCTGTATCTGTATGAAATTACGTTCCACCGCGAGATCCACCTGATTCGATGCTGGCCCTAGTAACTCGCGCGCGTGCCGCTTGCATCACGAGCCAACCAATCGCAAACGTATCGCGGCACCGATCTGCAACCCCAATCGGGAGGGGTGAAGGCCGATTCAGCACCATGCAACGTTGTGTCGCCCAGGCTGACGCCGCGACCAAAACGCACTGTCGAAACACATCACCAGCAGGGTCTCTCCCTCTCTCTCTCTCTCCCTCTCTTCCTCTCATCTCTTTATTATCATCCCTCTTCTCCATGTCTCTCTCCTGGTTTTTTCTCTCTCTCTCTCTCTTACTGCTCTCTAATCCGTTTCTGGTGTCGTGTTACGTCTCTCTATTTATGTTGCGACCCTGCTTAATGTATCTAGCCTCTCACCTCGCTACGGTCTCTGTTATGTGATCCCTACGATCCATCCGCTGTACTTGCCACTCGCTACTCTCTGGTCTGTACGCTCTACTCCCTACGCCCTACCATCTACACTCTCATTCTGACTGTGAACGGAGGAGCCCGGGCACTGGGCGCTACCAAAAGCTCCAGAACGGGGAACCAGACAATACCCCCGGCACAGAACTGGGAACCTGGGACCCCGACTGGCCACCGAGATCGGAGCGGAGCCCAGAACAGGGCCTGGCCGCCCACAGACATCGGCGGGGAACGCTCCCCAAGTCCTTCAGCATCAGCCAGGATCCTTCCAGTGGAAGCACCGACTCGGAAAACCAGCGCACATTCGCACAAGACAAGACAAAGTCCGACGGCATCGTTACAAATCCATCGAGCATCTGAAACCAATCTTAATGTCGGGCGTGTCCCCCTATAGGGGGATTTTCGACGAAAGATAACAAAATACACCCAAAATACTCCCCCCCAAAAGCTCAAAACATGCTCAAAAAATAGTCTCCGGACTATGTTTGGACTATTGTTTGAATATGTTTGTGGTACTTTTCTATTTTTCATCGAAAATCCCCCTGTAGGGGGACAGGCCCGAGTTGACACAAGCCAAGACAAAGTCCGACGGCATCGTTACAAATCCATCGAGCATCTGAAACCAATCTTGCAGATCAAGCGAGAGTCGAAGGCCAACTTAGGGGCAAAACAAACCTACCTCGCTTTGACCACCCTCGCTTCCAAAAGATACCAAGCGATGCCAAACCACGGCCTGCACTGGTCAGGCCGCTTGACGAGGAGGCGCGTGGTATGACTTGGTTTTGCCTGGAAGCAAAAGCGGAGTAGGAAATTCACGCTCTGAGTCCTCCAGCCCTCAACGAGCAGCTGCAGCCAGCGTGGGGCGCAAGCGGGGAGCCTCTGCCGGCGGGGCCTGCGCCGCGGGGCGCCGCCGCGCGCGCGCCGGGCGCCTCCTCCTCGCGGGCGCGCGCATGACGCAGGGATTTGCCAACGACTCCTCGTCCTCCTCCCTCCTCCTCCTCCTCCTCCTCCCCCCTCCTCCTCTCCCTCCTCTCTCTCTCCTCCTCCTCCTCCTCCTCCTCCTCTCCTCCTCCCTCCTCCTCCTCATCCTCCCTACTCCTCCTCCCTCCTCCTCCTCCTCCTCCTCCTCCTCCTCCTCCTCCTCCTCCTCCCCCTCCTCCTCCTCCTCCTGCTCCTCCTCCTCCTCCTCGCTCCTCCCTCCTCCTCCTCCTCCTCCTCCTTTTCCTTCCGCTCCACCTCCTCCTTCCTGCGTTCCTCCTTCCTGCGTTCCTCCTCCTCCTCCTCCTACTCCTCCTCCCCTGCTCCTGCTCTTTTCTGCTCAACGCGCGGCCACTGGAACCATCGACCCCTGCCACCCCCCCCGAGACCAGTTGCTTGTCCCAGGTAGGGCCTCGACGGGCCCCAAGCCGAGCAACGGCCGCGGGACGAACAACGTTCTGCCCCCAAAGCGTTTGGCGGCGCGCGCAAGGCGGTGGGGGGGGGAGGGTTTCTTAGAAGGAGGCTGCTTCTTAGAAGGCGCTGGCCTTACATCTATGGAGAAGGCCCGCGCCTTCTAAGAAGCAGGGGTGCTTCTAAGAAGCCCTCCCCCCTCCCCCCACCCCTCTCTGCGCGTGGCCGAAGCGTATCCTGACGCGCGCTCTTGGCAAAACTTCGAAGGGAACCCAACCGTGGCGGCCAGCATAGCGGAGCTTGAGCGGAACGCTGCACGACCCACGGGCTGGCAGAAAGAAAATGCCCAATGCTCACGGGGTACCGTGCCGCCGCCGGTGCTCGCCCGGCCGGGTGGACGTGCGCGTGTGCTTCCGTTCGAATGGGGGTGCGCTCCGATTCATGCGGTCTCGATGTGCAGTTTTACTGCCAAGTCATCGACATGGTCCACGGCGATTTTCATTATCACTGAGACCGGCAGGGTTCGTGTGGGCCAGGGGGACGACCAAATCCCCGCGCACAACGGCGGCAGAAACTGTCCAACCGAAGGTGCACGACACTGCGCAAGCATGGATCTGCCGTTGTCAGTATACCAAATGGTGATCGAGCTATGGCAGACGCTGACCTTACCGCAGCCCTGCGGCTTGGCGACGCTAGTAGGCATGGACATGCATCCCCAGAGAAGCCCGAAACATTTTAATGACGACTTCTCGCAGAGTTCACCGGCGTCAGTGATGCCACTTCTCTCATGATGCCCGATGCGTCCGTTCGCGCTGCGCGACCCAATTTGAAAATACAAATGTCGCGGCGCGCGCACATGAACACCGAACAACCGGCATCAATCACGCGAGCAAAGGACGGGTTGCTACGTGCCCCATGACCGCGGGCGGCCCTGCTCACGTGGCGCCTTGCTCTCAGCAAAAAGCTCCTGGCCTAGCAAATTGTAAAAGTGAATGCAAAAGCGTAACACCCAAGCGATGCGCGCAACTGCTTCGGTCGGGAAAAACCCCACGATCGAGCATAAATGATAGAGCGGGTTAGGACGAAGGGGCGAGGGGTGAAAAACAAGGTCGAAATGACGAAGATAATCACATCATCGACTCACAAACCCAGAGGGAATCTAGGAATATGGGGCATGAAAACGTTTTCTAGACACCTGACTGGACGACGGTATCGATGGAGGTGTACCGTGCCAAAGACTGTGCTGTGCCGTGCCGTGCTGAGTTGATATTGAAACGTATCATGTCAAGTTGACCTGGGCAGTTCTGTACTGCCTTGTGGACCCAGTCGTGAATTGGCATCCGAAGCCTGACCGAACTGATCTGGATCTTCAGCTCGAACTACCTGAACACAGAACTCACCCAGAGCTATCGGCAGTCCAAACGTGCGGGGCGCTCGCCCAGCTCGAATGCAAGGTCCGACTCAATTCCAGCGCAGTGCCAGAACCGAGGCGAAGCACACCCATAATGGACGGACCGATAAGCGGCGAACCGACCCGCGACAAACCGAATGAGTACGAGCCGACACAATAGGGACTGAGATGAGGGCCCCACAATGTACTAGCGCGTGGTTTCAACTCAGGGGCACAAGGAACCTTAGCTTGAGACACCGAACGGCTCTAGATCACAGGCGAAAGGAGCCAATGTAGAACCACGTGGTGTCAGCTCACGGGCGAAAGGGCACCCAGGCAACAGCACGTGGCTTCAACTTACGGGCGAAAAGAACTCATGTCACAAGACACGATGTCACCTCACGGGCGAGTGGATCCCCCGTAAAAAAAACACATGGTGTCGACTCGCGGGCGAACTCAGCCCATGTAAAGACTCATGGGTTCAGCTCACTGGCGAACGGAACCCACGTAAAAAACAGGGTGTCAACTAACGGGCGAGAGGAACCCGTGTACTAACACACGGATTCAATGCACGGGCGAACGAACCCATGTAAGGACTCATGGTGTCAACTCACGGGCGAATAGAAAACTCAGTAAGAAAACACGTGGTTTCAGCTCACGGGCAGGCCGCTGGCATGTGCAGGGCGTAGTAACCCTCCAGGACGCCCATGCCCGCCTCGCCAGAGACGCCGCAACCCTCTCCCATCTGTCCGGGAGAAAGATCGAAGCCCCGCTTCCTGGAGGATACATCCATCCCGAACTCCAGGAACGGACGATGGGCAGGCTTGACCCCCTCGGCTACATTCAGGAGGGTATACTCACAGGCGACCGGGGAGCGGTGGAGAGCGGGGGAAGAGCCCGAGCAGCGAGGGCAAACGCCCGAAGCAATCCCCCACACAACGGCGGGCAGGGAGGACGCCGCGCACCTCCCGAAACGGACGCCGGCGCTCAGGGTACGACAACCCCCTTGGCACGCCGACATCAGGCAAATGTTAGGAGAAGACACCGACAGCCGGGCTAGGCCCCCAGCCCCGGCAGGCCGTAGAGGGGAAACGAAAGGTCCATCCATTGGAAGTAAATCCACGCATTGGAGGTCCCAGATCCACATAACTGCGCCAGGAGGCGGCCTGAGGGGGGGGGGTCGCCAACTGCGGGGTCAAAGTCCCATGAGGAGAAAACGCATGAGCCCAGAGTGGTGTGACGTGTGACAGCCATTCTGGTCGGTGCTCGAGGGAGCGTCACAGGAGCCCTTCGCCGACGTGGTGGCGGAATTGCCACAGATACAAAAGTAAAGCCGAGCTCTGCCCCATCGGTTTCCACAGCCTGCCTCTCTGGCTGCATCCCTTGCCCACCCTTCGCGCGTTCCCCCTGCCCTCGCTGCGCGACCGAAGGGAGCAGCCCGGGAGGCTCCGAAACACGCCCGCATCGATCCTCGAAATCCCCCCCCCCCTCCTTCCCCGATCCGCCCCCTCCTCCCTCGATCCCCCATCCCGCCTCCCCCACCCCCGATCCTCGATCCCCCGTCTTGCACTGCCTCAGAAACCTCGCCTCGCACCCCCCGCTCTCCTCGTCTGGCGCCGCCGCCGCCACGTGGGGTGGTCGGCGCTCGGCGGCATCGGCGCTGCCGCCACGTGGTGGGCTGCAGCAGGGCGCTGCGCCTGGCGGGCGTTCGCGGAGGCCCCTGGACCTCCGGTGACCTCGGGGGCCTCCACCGGGGGCCACCCCGGAAGCCTGGAGGAGGATTCGACGTCGCGATGTGTTCAACACCAACGCTTGTTCCTGAACCATGTCTCTGGGGACCCGTTTCGTGCCCAGGAGCGGTCGAAAAACTCCCCTTGCTGGAAAACTGAGAGCACGTCGAAGGAAACTCAAGGAGTCGGATGACTGGGAGAGGGCCCCAAGGGGGGTAAGGTTTCTGGTTGCTTGCGATTCGCTTGTCTGTTCGCCTCCAGACGCCTGGATACCTCGGGATACGAATGAGTACGTACTTGTTGTGATCTTCCCTCCCCCCACCTCTCCTTCTCCCCCCCCCTCCTCGTCCACATCCGTTTCGATTCGTAGCAGCCTGGAACGTGCCCGTCTGCAGGAACTGGGAAAAGGTGCGGGGCACTACAGTAAACCCATACAGTAAGGATGCGCGGTAAGGATGCAAGGGCCTTGGACCCTGCCAACGTTCGTCGAAAGGGGTTGGTCAGCGAAGGTCGCTAAGGATGGGCCGAAGGGGGCAAAGATGCAAGGGTAACCTTGGCAAGTCGCTCGTCCTTACTACGCGGGTTGAATGTACAGGCAGGCGTCACTCATCTGGAGGCGTCTCACCAGGAGAGGGGCGATCCACAGGAATAGATGCGAACGCACGAAGACGCGAGCCCAAGAGAGGGGGCACCATATAGGAATACGCGGTGCACGCGACTGATTCGAGCCCCAGGTGAGGGGCAATATGTAGGAATAGACGTGAAACGCGACGGAATCGAGCTCAAAGAAGAGGGCGCAAGTCTCTATACATATAAAAAAATCCCAGTGCGACCCTACCTAGGAGTTCGAGCCCCTAGGAAAGCAGCATTAGTAGTAACAGTAAAGCTAAGCTAAAGCTAAGCTACAGCTAAGCTACAGCTAAGCTAAAGCTAAGCTAAAGCTAAGCTAAAGCTAAGCTAAAGCTAAGCTAAAGCTAAGCTAAAGCTGAGCTACAGCTGAGCTACAGCTAAGCTAACGCTAAGCTAAAGCTAAGCTAAAGCTAACGCTAAAGCTAAAACTAAGCTGAAGCTATGCTAAAGCTAAGCTAAAGCTAAGCTAACGCTACGCTGACGCTAAGCTGAAGCTAAGCTAAAGCTAAGCCGACGCTAAACTAAAGCTAAGCTAAAGCTAGCTAAAGCTAAGCTAAAGCTAAGCTAAAGCTAAGCTAAAGCTAAGCTAAAGCTAAGCTAAAGCTAAGCTAAAGTTAAGCTAAAGCTAAGCTACGTTTAAGCTAAGCTAACGCTAAGCTAAAGCTAAGCTAAAGCTAAGCTAAAGCTAAAGCTAAAGCTAAAGCTAAAGCTTCCAATGGACTGGGGGAACCGCGGGGCAGGGACTGGGGGAACCGCCCGGGCCGCTTTGAGTAAGAACCCTTCTAGGCAGAGCCTGGGTAGGGATATATATAAATATAGTTATGTATGTATAAATATATGTATGTGTGTGTAAATATATACATGCGTTTAAAATAACGGATTCGAGCCATAACATACTCGAGCCCCAAGACCGGAAAAATGATATGAACATGCGTAAGAGAAGCAGGACTCGAGCCGAGGAGAGGGGCAACGTATAGTAGTATACGTAACACATTAGAGAAGTCGGGCCACAGGAAAGGGGACAATATGTATATATGTGTATATATATATATAGATGAGCCCATGCGAAACGCAACAAGGATTCGAGCCTCACGAGAGGGTCAGTGAGTAAATATACGCGTGAAGCACTAAGGAGTCGAACCCCTAGTAGGGGGGCAACTGATGTGTATACTATACATATATACTACACGTAAGACACAGAAGGACTCGAGCCCAAGGAGAGGGGCAATATGATGGGAATGGACAGAGGGCACAAAGTGTTCGAGCCCCAGGTGAAGCGCAATCGATTAGACGTCAGCTCAAATACACAAAGAGTTGGGCCCCAGGAGCAGGGCACTGTGTAGGAATGTCTCCAAAACGCGAAGGATTCAAGCCCTAGGAGAGGGGCAACATTTTGGAACACGACTGAAACACATTGGCTTCGAAAGAGCTGGGTATCGAACATCACCTCGGCGGCCTGGACACGTAAAACAAACGCTTCGCATGAGACATCCTCAACTCATTCTGCAACACAAGCGTTTCGCTGGATGCATCCTCAACGAAAAGAGAAGCCACCTTCTACAATGATAGTTGCCGCTTTGGATTTCAACTCACAGCGTTTCGCCTGAGACATCCTAAACATTTAATCCCCCGGCCCTGCGCGACCTCTTTGATCGATCCAAAACAAAAACATCCTTACCTTAACTTGGCACCCAGGACATATTACCATCCTAGGAAGAGCCCTGGGCCCGCGACCTTCCTAGGAAGAACAAACGGCTGGGGACGACAGACGGAACCGACGGCCCAGAGACCTATGAGCTGACGAAAGTGAAGGCGCGAGAAATCTGAGTACAGAGCCCCCCCCGGGTCGACGGATCGGGGTCTTCGAATGAAACTGCTTTCTCTCAAGGGCCCGGGAACAGGATCTTTGGCAGGCCACAGAGAACTGCAGCCCTCAATCGCAGCTTCGCCGTCCCCGCTGCGTCATGCAAAATCGTGGCGTGCAGTGTCGTGGCGCAACAAGACATCAGCCAACGTTCACTGGCCGACTGTCCAACTCACCAAACTGAAGGGGCCCTGGGACACACAAATAAATACACACAGATAACAGGATTCCCTTATATTTTCCCATATTTTATAAGTTGTTGTCTTCCCCCCCACTGCTCATATTTTGCATATTTTCTGGGGAATCGACGACTCATTGTGTCTGTGTGTTTCTTCCCCTCATGACAGACACCTGGCACCCGGTCAGAGCCCCCGGCCCGACTAACACGTCCTGGCCACTTGCTTCTTAAAGCTTCCCGGGCGCTGACGGCTGGGCCTCTGGCGGCCTCAAAGAGGACGTCCCCGAACTAGGATTTGCCAAAAGGGTTCGTGCGCAGCGCCCCGCAGTTGCGGACAAGAGTGAGGGGGCAGGCGCGGGCGACGCGGGCGTCGAGCCGGCAGACCTCGTGTCCCTCACCTTCCCTGTCGATGGCGCCCTCCTCCTCCTCCTCCTCCTCCTCCTGCTCCTCCTCCTCCTCCTCCTCCTCCTCGTCCGCGTCCTCGTCCTCATTGAATCGTCGTCGTCGTCGTCGTCGTCGTCCGCCTCCTCCTCCTCCTCCTCCTCCCTCTCTTCCTCCTCTTCCTCCTTTTCCTCCTCCTCCTCCTTCTCCTCCTCATCATCCTCCTCATCCTCCTCCAGCTCGCCGCAGGCGCCGAAAATGTTGATTTGTACAGTGAATGCCGTTTGGGTCGCAGGTGCTTCACCTGGAACGAATCCAAAGGAAACCCGCCGCAGGCGCCGAAGTTTTGGCCTATTCAATGAACGTAATTTGGGTCGCAGGTGGGTCGCGGGCTCTCCACCTCCACCTGGAAGGAATTCAAAAACATTCCGCCGCAGGCGCCGAAAATGATGATTTGTACACTGAACGCGGTTTGGGTCGCGGGTGGGTCGCAGGTTCTCCACCTGGAACGACTGCAAAAGAAGCCCGAAGCAGGCGCCGAAAATTGTGGGTGCGTCGCGGGGTGGGTAGCGGGTGGGTCGCGGGCGGGTCGCGGTGGTGGGTCGCAGGTTTTTCCACCTGGAACGAATGCAAAAGAAACCCGCCGCAAGCGCCGAAAATTTTGGGTGGGTCGCGGGGTGGGTCGCGGGTGGGTGGGTCGTCGCGGGTGGGTCGCGGGTGGGTCGCGGGTGGGTCGCGGGTGGGTCGCTGGGGGGTCTCAGGGTGGGTCGCAAGCGTGTCGCGGGGTTGGTCGCGGGGTGGGTCGCGGGTGGGTCGCGGGTGGGTCGCAGGGTGGGTCGCGGGTGGGTCGCAGGGTGGGTCGCGGGGTGGATCGCGGGTGGGTCGCGGGTGGGTCGCGGGTGGGTCGCGGGGCGGGTCGCGGGTGGGACGACGACAACAACAAACAACAAACAACAAACATCAAATGACAAACAACAAACAACACACAACAAACAACGTATAACAACAACAACACCAACAACAACAACACAAACAACAGCAACAACAACAACAACAACAGCAACAACAACAATAACAACAACAAAAAAACAACAACATCAACAACAACAGCAGCAACAACAGCAACAGCAACAGCAACAACAACCAACAGCCAACCACCAACAACAAACACAACAACAACAACAACAACAACAACAACAACAATAATGACCACAACAACAACAACAACAACAACAACAACAACAACAACAACAACAATAACAACCACAACAACAACAACAACAACAACAATCCACATCGCGGAATTCCACTTCAGCCACGCACCCAGGGACGACAGTGAATGACCGTTCGGTTCAGCTCCCTCACTCTGACGTGCCTGTGAATTTGATCGACCCATGAACCCGGAAAGGGATTTAGAAATGCGAGGCGTGGGAACGTTTCGTAGCACCTCAAGTGGGCGATTGACAGTGACCATACTGAACACATCAAAGCTGTATCGTGCTGCTCTGCGATGTGCCGCTCAACATAATGACGTGCCAGGGGACGCGCCACGGAACCTGCCAGAGGAAGTGCCAAGGGACGTGCTAAGGGGACATGCCGCGTTGAATTGTGTCGTGCACTTTTGCTTTGTGGATCCAATCGTCCTTGGCGTCAGAATCCTGACCGAACGGATTTGGATCTTGAGCTCGAGCTGCCTGCACGCATAGCTCGGGCTGGTTGCCATCGAAACGCGCGGGGCGCTCGAACAGCTCCAGCTCGAGGTCCGAGTCAGTTCCGAAGCCCTCGCTCGAGACACACTCACACGTTGCTCAGGCACAGAGCCAGACGGCAACATGCTGGAGACCCCCCTGTGTGGCATGGACGCGTGAAGACGTGGCTCCAGCTCGGGGCAACCATGTTAGACACCCCATTGGGAGGCCGTTCCCCGCCCTGGGGTATCAGGCCCCACGCGTTTTCCCGCTCGTCCCGCTGTGGGGCATCACGAAGCCTAATGGTTTCACGCCTGTCCCGCTCTCGGGCGTCAGAGCCCACGGGCAGAGCCCACGGGTTTTCACACTTGTCCCGCCCTGGGGCGCTAGAAACCCATGTGCTCTCACGCGTGCCCCGCTCTGGGGCATTAGGCGCCCATGTGCCCTCACGCTTGTCCCACAACCATTCGTTTCACGCTTGTCCCGCCCTGGGGCGTTAGGAACCATATGTCTTCACGATTGTCGCGCTCTGGGACGTTATGAACCCATGCGTTGTCACGAATGTGCCGCTCTGGTGCGTCACGAACCACCATGTTGTCACACTTGTCCTGCTCTTGGGCGTTAGGAGCCCAAATGTTTCTACGCCTGTTCCGCGGGTTTTCACTCTTGCCCCGCTCTGGGACGTTAGAAACCCACGTGTTTCGACGTTTGTCCCGCTCTGGGGCATTAGGAACTATGTGTTTTCACGCTCGTCCCACTCTGGCGCGTTAGGAACCATGTGTTTTCATGTTTGTCCCGCTCTTGGGCGTTGGGAACTCATGTGTGTTCCACGCTTGTCCAGCTCTGGGGCGTTAGGCACCCATGTGTTTTCACGCTTGTCCCTCTCTGGGGCGTTAGGAACCCAGGTGTTTGCACGGTCGCTCCGCTCTGGGGTGTTAGGATCCTATGTGGTTGCACGCTTGTCCCGCTCTGGGGCGTTAGGATCCTACGTGGTTACATGTTTGTCCCTGTCAGGGGCGTTCGTAACCCATGTGTTTTCAAGCTTGGCCCGGTCTGGGGCGCTCGCTAAGGAAATTTAACAGGAAGGCAAATCAAACACAAAGGTTTCGGGCCCCAGGAGAGGGGCACTCAATCGGACTGAACTCATGTTTCGCTCTAGACGCCCCCAACAAACGCAAATGGTTTCTTTACCCTGTGTTTCCTCGATCGGAATTCCAAACACCAACGTTTCGCTCGGGACAACCTCACATTTCAATCCGCCAACCCACCCTTCCCTCGTCATTTACTGCACGCATCCAAAACGGCACCGAAGGCAATGAAACATTACTAAAACATAACCCTGGGCCGTCGCCCTTTCCGGGAAAAACACAAGTAGGTGCGACGTCGCCCCCCAGAGGCGATACCTGGTCCCTGATTGACTTGTTGCCCCTGATGCCCATGCTGCGGTTGCCAATTTGCCTGGGTTGCCTGCATTGGCCGGTTGCCAAACACTGCCAAGCAACGCCAAGAAACGCGACCCAATGCCAAGCAACGCCAGGCAACGCCAAGCATACTTGCGTCATCCCTTGCTTAGCTACTTGCAGGAAACTATCCCATTGGGGTCGCGCCTGGTTGACGTTGGCTCCGCGTCGTGTCTCCTCCTCCTCCTCCTCCACCCATTCCCCCCTCCTCCCCCATATCTCCCTCCTCCCTCCTTGTCCTCCTCCTCAGAATTCTCCTCCCCCTCCTCCTCCTCATCCTCCCACTCTTCTTCCCCCTCCTCCTTCTCCTTCACCTCCTCCTCTTCTTTCTCATCTCCTTCTTACTCCTCCTCCTCCTCCTCCTCCTCCTCCTCCTCCTCCTCCTCCTCCCCTTCCCTTTTTTTTAACGCTAGACCAACCTGAGCGTGACGCTGTGGCGTTAGTCCTCCTCCTCCTCCTCCTCCTCCTCCTCCTCCTCCTCCTCCTCCTCTCCTCCTCCCCTCCTCCCCCTTCTCTCCCCCTCCTCTCCTCCTCCCCTCCTCTCCTCCCCCTCTTCCTCCTCGTCCTCCTCCTCCTCCTCCTCCTCCTCCTGCCCCCCTCCTCCTCGCTCCTCCTCCCTCTGCCCCCTTTCTCCTCCTTTCCCTCCTCGCTCCTCCTCCCCCCTTCTTCTCCTCCCCCCCCTCCACAGGGGGCGGCCTCGTGCCCGTGCCCGTGCCCTGCCAGGACGCCGCGGCCCACGTGCAGCTCGGACTGCAGCAGTTCCACCTGCGAAGGGCCCGGGGCCGCCCACACGCCGGCTCGGCACGGCGCCCCGACGGGGCAACTCTCGCCAGGAGGAGGAGGAGGAGGAGGAGGAGGAGGAGGAGGAGGAGGAGGAGGAGGAGTGTTAGAAGACATGAGAGCGACAAGGATACATGGGATGCAGAGAGATCTTTTCAGTCGGCCCCGGAGGTCCCGGGCAGTACGCACGCTCCTCGCGCGTGCACGCATCTAAGCCAAAATGGCTGTGGCAAACCCATCAGCAATCCTATCTGTACCAAAGAGCATTGGGGGTGGGGTGGAGAAACACGACAGCGGGACCACTTTTAGTGGGACAGACAAGGATTGGGATGCCTTCCCTATCACGGGCGAACTCTCGGTACCCCCGAAGCCAGTCACACACTCTTGAATCCTGCTCTCGGCCTCTCGGGCCAGTTCCCTCCTGGAAGCTTGTCGCGAGCGATCCTTCAGGGACGAGTTCAGCGCACGTTCCGAGAGGTGGTTATCTTCATCCACTAGACAGATTGTTCCGCGGCAAAGCAAATCAGCTAAAGCGAGGTTGCCTTTTGAGGGGTCGGCCTTAGTTAAACTGTCGGCCGCCATGCGGCCGTGGGGGACCCATCGTATTTGGGATCCGAGGGAACTCATCGCGTCTCTCACCACGGCAAGTTCGATAGCGCTTCGTCTATCTTGTCTCGAGCCAGCACTGTTTCTACTGAGAGTGTCAAAGACGCACTTCGCGTCAACTACCGATATCGTGGACGCGCTCTCTGCCAGAGAGCAATGAGAGCTGAGGATGACCGAAAAAGGAGACTGACCAAGATGCCAATCGGGCTTTCTCACGTCACCGAACAACAAATCACGCCACAAAATCTGTATCCACTGCGCCTCTGCGAGCGCTGACGAGAGACTCAGGGTCTCTGCGGCACTGGTGGATGAGACGACTCTCTTGAGACGGCTTGATCGCCAGGCAAGAAGCGAAGCTCGAGCTCTCTTATTCCCTCTGATCTCTGCGTCCGCCGCGACGACGAGAAAAGCCCCCTGAGCCCCCTCTCGGCGGGCGGATCCTGGCCCCCCGGCGTCAGAAATCGTGGCGAACGTAACCGTGAGAGGATCGATCGGCCAGATCGCTATATGCTGTGAGGCGCTAGACTTGAGGTGCCGAACGATCTTACAACACAGCAAGGCGTCCTCGACGGTGGGAGTCGGGAGCGCCGCCGACTGAAGAGAAGCCCCTCCCGCCACGTCGGGTCGAGTTTCCCTCGCCAGCCACTGAATCTGCGCGATCATGGTTCTGTAACCCTTGATCTCGTCACTAGTTAACGGAGCCTGCAAGTCGCCTTTGCGACTCTTATCAAGTCTCATGGCCTTCAACTGCTCGAGAATGTATTTCTCCTGATCAACGAGAATTTTCCGCCTGAGACCTGCCTCAAATGACGGCCAGCAAAATCGGACTCTCCGACCTTCCACTTCCCAAACTTAAAACGGCCCGTCAGTCTCGAGCGGAGTCCCTCTCGCTCGGAAGGATCGGACGCCAGAATCAAATCATCCACCTCTATGAGGATGATCGAGAGAGGGGACCCCGTCGCACTACGCTTCACCCAAAGACAAGGCTCCAGAAGTGATTTCTCGAAGCCGTCCGAGACGAGAAAATCCGCGAGGGTCCTGTGCCACACAAGAGGGGCGTCATTGAGGCCGTAGACCGGCGCGACCAACTCCACGAGTTCCCCCGGGGCGAGATCCAACCCGTGACACGGTTCACAGAAGATAGCTCCAGACGGCCTCCTTAAACGATCACTCTGGCAAAACGCGTTCTTTGCGTCCGCCACCTCGAGTGTCCACCCGAGCGACGCTATGGCTTGAAGGGTCAACATTAGACTCTCGGCCTGCGGCGTCGGTGCATATATCTGCAGATCCGCGGCGTCCGGGTCATGGCGCCCTTGGACGCACCATCTTGATTTGGCCTCTGGGGCCGCCCCGACGCCCTCTTGGGGCTTGAATCTCCTGACCATTCTTGATCCGAGAATGCGATCCGGGTGGCGTCTCCGAATGATCTGGGCCTCTTGGGCCGACGCGACTCGGACAGCTCCCGACTGCAGAATGCTGGTCCACTCCTTAGTATCAGAAAAAGAAAACAACCTCCTCTCCTCCTCGCTAAGATCCTTCAGGTTGACTTCGGCTCCTCGGCGGGCGGGAGGAGGATCGGACAGCGACGACTTGGGAGGAGGACGAGGGTAGTTAGGATAACTCTCTCCGGAGGCCTCGGGGTCCCAGTGATACCATCCGCAGAGCTCTTCCCACAAAATTTCGTCTTGGGCCTCGTCGGGCTGAAGAGAGCACCAGGTGCTGAGGTCTGGGTCGTCCTCAGGCTGTCCCTCCGACTCTGGAGCCTCCCTCAGTGGAGATCTGGATCTCCCCCTCTCGAGACCGGGGGGCTCCTGACTCGGTGGTACGGCCGAGGAACTACTCGCAGCCCTCCTTAAGATACAGTGTGGGACGTCGTCAAAAGATCGATTCCTCCCTCCCTCTATCTCTCGTACGGCTGACAGGACGCGCCCGGCCTGACTCGGCAGCTCTTCCGACGGAGTCAGCTTGGGTCTTGACGACGCCGGCTCACTTCCTGGCTCACTGGGAAGAAGAGATGCTGGCCTCGCTCGAGGTCCCTCGTCCCTGGAGGCCCCCTCAGGCTCTGAAACAGGTGGAGGAAGAGAGGACACAGACGGTATGGATCTGAGAGAAGAGGGAGGGTGGGCAGGAGATGGAGCAGTAGAAACGGCCGCGTCTCCCTGAGGCAACGTCCCCTCGGGCGCTGCAGGAGGAGAGGACTGGGCGAAAGGCTCCGCCGTCGCCAGCGGCAGTTCGGAAACGGGTCTCGCGACGTCGGCCGTGACGTCCCAGGCCTCGGGGGGTGGAGGACCCTCTCCCTCCACGTCGACGGCTCCGACCCTGCCGTTCGGGCGCTGAAGCTCGTCTCTTAAATTGGCCAGCTCTGAGCAGTCGAGAAGCTCAGCCCCGTCGGCCTCATCCCTGGCGGCCAACCTCACTTGTTCCACAGAACACTTCAAAAGTCGAGTCCTCATCGCAACCCAAACCGTGGTTCCTTGTTGGAAAACGGTGGCTCCTGGTCCTGTCCACCGGGCCCTGGATCCTTCTCCGGACCCGGGACTCGGCCTTCGCCAAACGTAAACCCAGGATCCCGGCACGAAAACCTTGTCGGCATGCTTTCTCGAGTGGCTGGCCGCCTTGAGACGCTCTCTAACATCTAATGACATAATTGCTTTGCGAGCCTCCTCTCGCAAAAGATGCTTGCGGGCAAAGGCTGAGGCTGGTGAAGACCCGTCTCTCGTTCCCCTGGCCAGATCCTGGACCCCTATATCATCTATGGCATCGTCGGAGAGGAGAGCATGTGGGAGACGGGGGTTCTCTCCAAACACCATTTGATATGGCGAAAAACCACCTCTGTGAGTGAACCTGTTTTTAGCCGCTTGCACTTCGCACAGCAAATCCTCAAGCTCTCCCTTGTCTCGCAAAACCGCAACACTAGAGGCCTTCAGGAGGCCCTGCTTCACGATGCCCCCGTGCCTCTCGCACCTTCCGTTTTGCCATGGGCTCGTAGCGTCACAAACGTGTTGATAAATCCCAAGACCCTCCAGGCCCCTTGAGAAAGCCCCTTGAAACTCAGGCCCTCCGTCACTCATCACCAGCTCTGGAATCCCCAGAGGACGAATCCACGTTCTGACGAAAGCTGACCAGACCTGGGATGCCGTTTCATTCCTCAACACTGTACAGACCTGGTAGTTGGATCCGTGGTCTATGACGTTCAGGATCGGGATGGACTCCTGGAAAGCATTTATATACATTAGGTCCACCGCCACCAGCTTGTTGAAACGGTACGTGCGAGGCAGCTGCGCCTTGCGGCGCCAGTGGGGTCTCGCACTGGAGTCACACTGTGGACACTTAAACTCATCCTGAACCCATCTAATGATTTCTTCCCTCACCTTACCTATCTTGAGAGCCCTAATAAACTCTGACTTACGAGGATGTCCGAGATTGACGTGCACCTTGTGGATCTCATTCTGAGCCTCTTTGGAAGGAGCCCTTGAGTCAGCTCGCTTTCCCCCTTCGGCCTCCTGAAATGGAGCCTTCGGGAACTTAGTGGGTTCTTCTTCGGGGTCTATCGGGTCCTCAGGGGGCAGCCCTAGCTCCTCCTCAGAGTCACTATCAAGCGTGACAGGCTCGGCGGATGCCGGGTAGTCCGCTCCCGTCCATGCAGAAGCCGGGTTGCTCAGATTCATCAGAAGTCGACCAGCCGCCAGCTCGACTCCACGTGCCACCGCCCTCACCAGTTCACGAGGATAGCGCTGAGCAGCCCTCGTCCTGGATCCGCCAACGAGCATCTGGTGCTGGTGATCTCCCTTGCACCGACGGGCACAGGCTGTCAGAATCTCAGGGCTATTAGAAGCGAAATTGGTAGGCTTCTTCGACAGAGTTCCTGGGACAATCGATAAACCGAAAGCACACTGATCGGCCGTGACCGTTTGAACCCCAGGGCGACTCAAAAGGTGTCTCAGCATGTGAGTGTCCCAGCTCTTCGCTGACTGAGGGTGTTCAAACCAGAATTCTCCCCCGTGGTGAATCTGATACTCGGCCACCTGAACACAGATCAGGAGATACAGGAGCGCCTCCTGCTCTCTTCGGCGATTCTCCTCCGGATCGATCCGCGGCTCCCGGGCCCCGGCAACGCTGAACAGACAGCAGGGCGGGGACATGAGAACAATGGCCGGCCGATCGGCTCTCAAAGTAGCCCAGAGTCCTCGTCTGTCCTCAGATTTCCTCAGGTCCCAGCCTGTGTCCTGGTCGATGGGAGGTGACACCGGGTACCCTAGTCTTTCCAGCTCTAGAGAGACACGAGGAGGAGAGAAGAGCTCCAAGCATATCGTTCGCCCCTCCTGCTCGAGAGCCGACACAACCTCCTTTCTATCCCTCCTCTTACCCGCACTAATGCC